GAAGGAAGGAAGGAAGGAAGGAAGGAAGGAAGGAAGGAAGGAAGGAAAGAAGGAAGAAAGAAAGAAAGAAAGAAAGAAAGGAAAGACAGACAGAAAGACAAAAAGAAAGAAGAAAGAAGAGAAAGAGAGAGAGAGAGAGAGAGAGAGAGAGAGAGAGAGAAAGAAAGAAAAGTTCCTATACACAAAGGAAAACACAGAATGTGACTGTTTGCCAGATACTCATTTGACAGGATATTACTCTCAGGAACGCCAACCTGGTTAAGATCACTGACTCCTGCAATTCTGAGTCACAGACGTCTGTAACTCTAGTTCCAAGGGCTCTGCCTCCCTCTTCTGGTGTCTGGGGGCATTGCATGCGAATGCTGCATAGAAAACCCAAACTGGAGCTCCGGGACCGGTCTCTCTCCCCTTGGAGCTCCAGAACCACGAGGAAGAGGAGGGGCAAGAACCGTAGGATCTGGAGGGGCCGAGGGCATCAGGACAGCAGGGCCTCCAGAGTCGACTTCGCGGGGCTCATAGGGACTCACAGAGACTGAAGTGGCCCTCACGGAGCCGGCGTGGGGCTGCGGTAGCTCCTCTGCATGTGTCATGGTTGTTAGCTTGGTGTTCTTATGGAACCTGTAACAGTGGGGGGGGGGGGGGGGGGGGGGGACAAAAAGGGGTTTGGGGGGGGGGCGGGGGGGGGGGGGGGCGGGAGGGGAGTGTCTCTAAGGGTTTCTCCGTGTAGACCAGGCTGGCCTCATTCTCACAGAGGTCCGCCTGGCTCTGCCTCCTGAGGACATGCCTCTGTTCTTTAGCCTGCTCTTGGGACCCTTTCCTCCTGCTGGGTCGCCTCACCAGCCTCGATACGAGGGTTAGCCTAGTCTCCTGCACCTCGTTGTGCTGTGCGCTCCGGAAATGCCAGGAGCCTGCCCTTTTCTGAAGGGGAATTCCGGAAGAGGAGTGGGTCCGGAGGGGAGGGGAGGGTGTGGGGAGGGGACTGCAGTAGGGCTGTATTGTATGAGAGGGGGAGGGGAGAGAGAGAACCCTAACCTGAACAGACAGTTTTCAATGGCAGATAAATACCGGAATAGATGCTCTGTCTCCTCAGCCACTGGGGTTACACAAATTGAAAGTCAGAAGTGGAGTCCTGAACACCTGTGGTTTCAGCAGCGACACCGTAGAGGCAGAAGAAGGGTCAAGGCTATGAACTACGTGGGTCAGGTGTTGTGGATGTAACATGGTTTGTGCTGGTCCCAGGGGTGGGACGTGGGGCTGACTCAGATGGTCACAGCAGCAGACTGTGTGCCTCATGCCGGCTCTGAGAGGGGCTCTTTCCCAGCTGCAGAGTTTAAATCTGAGGACTCTGGAGAGAGACTAAATGCCAGAGCCCAGAGAGTGGAGCTGAGAGATCGAACAAGGCTGCTGCTTCCCCCTGCGGCTCCTGGTTGCTGCTGTGAGACGAGAAGTTGGGGATCTCCTGAAACGAGGATTGCACTGGCTCCAAGGAACCCGGGGACCCTGACCAGCAGGAAGCAGCAGAGAGAACTGCGGCCCCGCTTCCACTAGCCCTTTCTCCTCCTACCTGGTGCTGGGGTGTTGAAAGGGACTGGGGTGGAGTAGGGAGAAAAATATAAAGAAATGTAAATAAAAGTTTATAAAAAGTAAGCCACCAACAGTGAGGCTCCCTCCCTGTTTCTTTTTCACAAACACACACACACACACACACACCATCCAAAACATGAAAACACATGCTGGTGAGGAATGGGGAAGGGTATATATAAGTGTACCCTGATACACTGCTGGTAAGGGGCGCAAGTTAGTCCAGCTCTTGCTGAGATCCACACAAGATTTCCGGGAAGTCCTAACAGAACTGTGAGGTAGTCTGCTGTGCCGCTGCTAAGCGCACACTGCTGAGAGCGGGACCGAGGCGCTACTCACGATGGATAAGTAATTGCATCCGGGTGTTCTGCTCAGAACGAAGCGTGCCACGTGCAGGATATGAATGGAAGTGGAGACCACGTGATGGGACGAAATCCAGACTTAGGGCACAAGCGTCCTGTGTTCTCCAACATGTAGGATTTAGTGGTTTGTTTGTTTGTTTGTGTTTTGGTTTGGTTTTTTGAGACAGCGTTTCTCTGTGTAGCCCTGACTGTCCTGGACTCGGTCTGTAGACCAGGCTGGCCTCGAACTCAGGGATCCATCTGCCTCTGCCTCCCAAGTGCTGAGATCACAGGCGTGTGCTAACAAGCCTGGCGGCTTTTTTAAGACACAAAAGTCAGTGCAGCAATTGGGAAGAGAAAGCGGCCCAGGGTGTGGGGAGGTGAGACAAAGGACAAGTGACTGTGAGAGATGTGAGTATAACGAAAGTACGTTATTCACAGGTTTGTGACTGTCACGTTGAGTGCTGGGTGTGGTGGTACCAGTTTGTAATCCCACAGCTTGGAGGACGGAGGACGGAGGACCCTGGCAAATCCAGCCTAGGATTTACAGTGAGATCACGCCTGGGGTGCAGGCGAGAGCGAGGCTTGGGGCTGGTGTTTAGGATGCACAGGAAGACTGTGTTAATCCACCAAATGAGAGTGGAGACTGTTACCAACACAGGAGAAGGTGGGTTTATGTTAGCCCCCAAACTGCAAGGCGAGGGGATTCTTAAGTCTCTTTTGCTTATGGAGGAACTTGCCAGAACATCTCAGAATTATTGGTCAGAACATCTTACCAGGGTGGAGATTAGGGAACATGTGTGGATCATGTCAAATTCCAGAAAATAGGTCTAGACGCAGTCAAACCTGAGTTTACAGAAAATGGGAATGAACTTATTTGACGCTGTAATAAGATGGCTTTTAATCTTGAGACAGAGTCAGGCTGGTCCATCAATTGCTGCAATCTGAGGTGAGCCTGGCCTACATGGAGAGACCTGTCTCAAAGTTCCTCCACAATAAAATCCGTTAGTGGTCATGAAACCATGAACTATATCCTGTTATACATTTAATATGCACCAATTAAAAAAGAGGAATGGGCCAGCTCAGCTGGTAGGTCAGCTGAGGTGGCGAGACTCCCAGCTCTCAGGACTCCACTCCTGCACCTGTGACACATGGGGTAGCCCTTCCCCCCGCACATCTCCCCCCAACACACAGCAAATAAAATTAAAGAGTCAAAAGTAAGGGCCAGGATTTAGCTCACTCAGTCAAATGCCTACCCAGCGTGTATGAGGCCTTGGGTTTAATCCAAAGCACCATGTACTGGTGAGGTGGCACAGGCCTGGGGCCCAGCACTTGGGAGGTAGAGGCAGGAGGCTCAGGAGTTTAATGCCATCCTTAACTATACAGGGGGTTCATCGGCCGAGGCTACCTAAGACCTTGTCTTTATTTTATTATTATTGCTTTATTTATTTATTTTTGGTATTTTGAGACAGGTTTTCTCTTTGTAGCCCTGGCTGTTCTGGACTTGCTTTGTAGACCAGGCTGGCCTCGAACTCACAGAGATCCTCCTGTCTCTACCTCCATGAGTGCTGGGACTATAGGTGTGCACCACCACGAGGGCTCAAGACCTTGGCTTTAAAAAAATGTGTGTGTGCCGGGGGTGAGGGGTGATGGGGACTGGCATGGGCTAATTAGAAAGACTTTTTTGAGTATGGCAACAAGGAATCAAAGGGAAGGCTGTCCAGCGGCAGAATTGGAAGTCTGTGCAAAGGCTCTGAGTTGGGAATAGAAGTTGCTGGAGGATGGAAGGCCAGTTGAACTCAAGACAAAGAAAAGAAAGGAAAGAAAAGCAAACATCTCCCCACCCCCAAAACAAGAAAAGACAGAAATAAGAAAGGAGAAATTGTACTTGCATATGGTGAGGTCAGACCATATACATTTCAGAATGCGTAAGAGAATTTTCTTATCATGTTTAGAAGCCCCTGAAGGGCTCTAAGCTGAGGTAGCTCACACCTATAATGCCGGGACCTGAACTAGTGAGCCTGAGGCAGGAAGATTGCCACAAGTCTGAGGCCAGCCAGTCAAAAAGCAGAAAGAAGACAAAACTGATTTACATTAGAAAAGCCTAATGTGTGAAGCTTGGAATGCTGATAAGGCAATGAAGAGGCCTTTGAAAGGGTTCCAAGATGTCAGGAGAGAGGGGGATGAAACAGACATGTCTATTTTCTATTGGGAATAGGAGATGGGGAAAAATTAAACCTGTTTGGGATGTGCGCTGTGTGTCTGTGCGCGCACACACATGCTTTCTGTTGTCTGATCTGGCGCTCAGGGACTCATTGCGGCACCTCCCTCGTGTCAAATAAACACTCGACCTCTGAGCTGCAGAACCTCAGGACCTGGGAAGTGGGTAGGAAACCCAGAACGAACACACTCGCTTAGTGCGGTCTTCCGGCGTTGCCAGCGCGGCGGAGGAAACCGGGGCAGCGGAGTTCAGGGGCGCAGGGCTCCTGTCACAGCCAGCGGAATTTCGGGTCTCACCCCTTACCGAGGCCCCTCCCCGAACTGCGTCCACGCCTGCGTATGGACTCGGTGCACAGGCTCCTGCGGGAGGGCCGCTTCTCGTTCCACCGCGCGTGCAGCTTGGGAGGCGCAGGTTGGCGCGTGGGTCGGGGGGACGGCGTCTCGCCGGGCCGGCCCGGACGCTTTCCGAACCGCGCGCCAACCTGCAGAGCACGTGTCCGGCCCGCGCGGCCCCGCCCCCGGCCCGGCCCGCGCCCACCGCGCATGCGCCCTCCTGCGGCGAGGGCCCCCGCCCCCGTGCCGCAGCCCCCTCCCCAAGACCCTCCCCGGCGGCGCGCGGCGCGCTTGTGTTGCGTCATCACGCCACGCCAGCGCTCGAGCCTGCGAAGATGGCGGCGGCCGTTCTCAGTGGGCCCTCCGCGGGCTCCTCGGCCGGGGCCCCCGGCGGGACTGGGGGTCTCTCTGTGGCGGGGTCGGGCCCGCGCTTGCGTCTGCTGCTATTGGAGAGCGTCTCCGGGCTGTTGCAGCCGCGAACGGCGTCCCCCGTTGCCCCGGTGCATCCCCCCATCCACTGGGCCCCGTACATGCCCGGGCTCATGTGCTTGTTGCGGCTGCATGGGACTGTGGGTGGGGCTCAGGTAAGACCGCGCTCGCGTGGCCGCCGTGGGGAGGCCGCCGAGGCCGCCGGGCGCCGGGGTCGCGCCTTCCGGAAGCTGCCGGCGAGAGCTGGAGGACAGAGCTGAGGGGAGAGGTGGAGCCTCGCACCTTTCGGGACGAGATTCACGAATTTCATTATCTGCCGTTTTCCCCAGGGGGGAATTCGGCCCTGAGTCTGTTAGGCCATTGATGGGCACAGAGGAGTGGAAGGACTCAGTTCCATGCCAGGGCGCTTAAGTAGCTGAATGCTCCTCAGCGTTTTTCTTTTGGCGAAACTTTTTGTTTGGGGGGGGGGGGGGGGCTGTGTTTTTTTCCTTGGGTAGTTGAACACATAAATATTTACTAGCTCTTAGCCGAAGGTCTAATCCCCTACTAGACGCTCTAACCACAGCCATACTGGCGATGAGCAAAATGCTGTAACACCAGGTTGAATCTGGTACGAAGCATCCAACCTCGTATAGAGTATTTTAAAGATTTCCCCGAAGGACCTGGCATTTAAGGTGAACGGGGCTACGGAGTGGAAGGGGTAGTTAGAACGTTAGGGGAACGCTCGTGTGTTGGAAGGCCCCATGGTAGGAAGGAATGGAAAATAAAGGCATTGTTTAGGTTAGGGGTGTAGACGCTGAAGGAAAGGGTGGGCAGGGTTGAGGCTGGTGAGGTAGGTAGGCAAGCAGTAGGCAGTGTGGGCTAGTTAGGAGCCTTTGCAGAAGTTCACGTGTGTCGTCCTCAATACCTGCTGTCCCGGAAGCAGTCTGTGAAGTTCTGCCTCCTCACTGTGTGGCCCTAGCTGGTCTGGAGCTGTGTAGACCAGGCTGGACTGAAACTCACTGAGATCCACATGCCTGTGCCTCGGTATTGCTGGGATCACAGGCCAGTGTGTTGGAATTGGTGGGTATGGGCAAGGGTGGCACAGCACACAAGTCAAAAGTGGTAGGACCCTCCAGGTCCTCAAATTCCTATGGCAAGACAAGGTGTCTCTGCTGTGGTGTGTGCCAGGCCAGTTGGCCCCGCAGCTTCTGGTGATGCTCACGTTTCTTGATAGAGGGCGCTGTGACCACAGCTGCTTAGCTTTGGTGGCTGGCGTCTGTGGGCTCTGGGGACCAGAGCTCAGGACTGTGTGGCAAGAGCCTTTATGCCCTGTACATCTCAGACCTCAAGTGGTGGCCCTTTGGAATACTCCCGTTGTCTGTTCTCTTAACACTTTGGTTTGGTTTAGAACTCCCGCTGGTTTCACTGTTCCCTGAGTTTTTGTTCTGTTCTAGGTGTGCACTGAGCAGGCCTCCGTGAGTCCTGTGCCCAGCTCCACACTGTCAGTTGTGGAGTCTCTAACACAGTCTCTAACGTCAGTGCCGTTTTCATTGTTGCTGTCACACCTGGGGGCAAACACTTGTGCTGCCTTATTATTTTTGGTGTTCCCCTTAGAGGTATCTGCATACATGCACGCACTCACACACACACACGTACACACACACACACACGCTGGAGAGAGCGGAGAGAAGAACGAAAAGTCATTCATAGTGAGTAGTGCGTGCAGGCCTTAGCCATATGTGATGCATTATGGGACAGTAGCTGTTGACCAGTCTGGCCTTTGAACATGAGTTTTATTACCCTTTGTGTGTAGGGGTTATAGAACAAACACTGACAATGTACCTGTGGTTTGTTTTTGTTTTCTAGATGCATTCAGTTTATGTATGTGTTTAGTCTGTGTGTTTGTATCTGTGCCACAGACATGGTGCCCGTGGTGCTGGAAGGGCATCAGCTCTCCTGGAACAAGAGTTGCAGATAGTTGTGAACCACTACATGGATACTGGCAACTGAACCTGTGTCCTCAGGAAGAGCAAGAAGTGCTCTTCACCCCTGAGCTGTCTCCAGCTTTGCTTAAGCATGTCTGGCTGGCCCGGATCTTGCTATGTAGGCTAGGGTGGCCAGGAACTCACAGGGATGTGCCTGCCTCTGCTTTCTGAGTGCTGGGATTATGCCTGGTTTCTCCTGTTCTCTCTGTGTCTTTGCCTCTGCCTCTCACTCTCTCTCTTAAGACAGGGTTTCTCTGTGTAGCCCGTCTGTCCTTGAACTCACTCTATAGACTAGGTTGGCCCCTGACGGCTTCTGGAGGTGCGAGGCTTAAAGGCAGGCACCCCGACTCCTCCCTACCAGCACTGGGCTTCACTTGTGCTTGGTTTGTTATTTATTATTTATACAGTGTTCTGCCTGCATGTGTGTCTGGAAGAGGGCACCAGATCTCACTATAGATGGCTGTGAGCCACCATGTGGGTGCTGGACATTGAATTCAGGACCTTTGGAAGAAACAGCCAGTGCCCTTCACCTCTGCGCCGTGTCTGCAACATAACCTGTGACTTAATGTAAGGTCAGGGGTGGGGTTTCCACCTGTCAGATCCCTGAAACTCAGTGTTTTGGATTTGGAGCACTTTGATTATCCAGTTATGGATGCACAGCCCGTGTTTACTTCATGGGTTGTTTATTTTCACTTTTTTCCATCTGGGAGATGAGCTCCCCAGCACCTAAAGCAATGTTTCTCCTGAAGTAGACTAGTACACCGGTACTGAGTAAATGAATGAACAGTTTCTGCCACCCGAGGAAGAACCCTTTTGAGTATAAAAGCTGCTCTCGTTTACTTACATGTATGTGCGGTGTATGCATGCCTCATACACGTGTGGAGGTCGGAGGGCAGCTGTGGGAGTTGGTTCTCCTACACGTGGGTTCTGGGAATCCGATGCAGGTTTCAGACACTACCTGCTGAGCCGTGGGATCTTAGACTATATTCAGCTGTGCCTTCTTGTACCCAGGCAGTGCTGATGTGGAATTAGAAAGAATGAATGATGTCTGGCCTTTGGTAGGTGTGGGTGCCCTGCAGGAGTGCTGCTTTGGCTGATGGAGAGGTTATTTGAAGGCTATGGAGGAGCGTGTTCGTGTGTGTGTGAGAGGGAGGGCCTGGCGAAGGACAGGTTGAGTCCGTGTGTCGTCCTAACCCTCCGAGGAAGGCAGGATCGAGGGGAAGACTTGTTTCTCCCAAGTGATGGAGGAAGGGTTTTGGATGGGGTTCATTCAGCTAGCATTTCTGGAAGTCTTTTTTTTCTAGGTGCTTTCCAGGGGTGAGGTTCTTCTGCTGAGGTAAAGGAAGCCTTATTATTGATCTAGTAGATGAGTTGGGGTGTCCTCTTGTTAGTTCTGAGGTGTCCTGCACAGACATGAGGGAGGAGATCAGATAAGATGGAATTTGAGGAAACAGTTGAAGGACAGACAGCTGTGATGTAGACTTATGGCCTTTTGGGGCTCAGAAAGTACGTTTTCAGAAAGCTTTCTTAGGTGCAGGGACAATGAAGAATTGGAGAATTTCTTCTGCGTCTGTAGTGACCTTTGCCTGATTCATTCCTGTTTTTTTTTTTTTTCCCTCCACGTCTAGAATCTTTCAGCTGTTGGGGCATTGGTGAATCTCAGTAATGCCCATCTTGGCTCCGTCAAAACTCGGTAAGTCCCCACCCCTGTTTCTCCAGGGCGGTGTGTGCTAGGAAGAGGTTGAGTGTGTATTTGCCTGTGCTCTGTCCCCACCCTATTGATTCAAGAGATGTTCTCCCTCCCAGGAGCTGTGGGGAGGTCTCCTTTTGTGAGTTCACTTGAACTCACCATTCCCACCTCCCAGGTTTCCTGTTCCCACCTGAGATTGCCTGTGCTTCCTTCTTGCTCGCTACTTTAACCTCACTGAGTCCTTCCTATGTCTTGGGAGGTGGAAACCACAGTTAATCTGGAGATAGAGTCATACTACAGGTCAGCGAAAAGAAAGGGACAGTCAGGAGGCTTCTCTGATGTCTAGCCTCCAGCTCGGCACCTCTTCTTCTTGCAAGGTTTGAAGGCTTGTGTCTGCTGTCCTTGCTGGTGGGGGAGAGCCCCACGGAGCTGTTCCAGCAGCACTGTGTGTCTTGGCTCCGGAGCATCCAGCAGGTGCTGCAGGTAAGGACCCCTCCCTCCCTGCTGCCCCGCCCACCCCCAGCATCAGGTGTGTTCTTTGTGGCTTGGACATTTAGCTCTGGGACGGAATGACTGAAAACAGTTTTCTGATTTGTGGACAGAGGAGAGTTAGGAGTTAGCTTGGAATAGAAATCTTTCTAAACTCCCTGGTAGTTTTATGTGTCGGCTGCTTTACTTTGTTTGCCTCTCACACATTGTCAGCCTCAGCTTCACTCGGCCCCCTTTCCTAAGGAGTGGGAGCTCTGCGGTTCTTGGTGTAAGGACTCGTTGCGCATATGCATTTCCGTCTATTGCTTTGCTGCTCTTCTAAAGTTTAGTCCCTCCCTAGCACCTGCTGTGCTCTCTGTGCTTCTGTATTCCATATGTTTTCTGAGCACATCGTCAAGCGGTGTGCGCAGGGGAAGAGGTGCTTGGATTCCACTTGGATAGCTCTCAAGTCTAATACAGGGACTGGTATATTTTCTTAGGATCTAGGAGTTTGGAGATAGCGATTTAGACTCATAAGCCACGTGGTTTCTATTAAACACTGTTTTTTATTTCTTTAAAAATGGAAAAAACATTGTTAGCTTCTGGGCCATGTAAAACCATATACTCATGTGCGGTAGTTCACAGATTTCTGTTCTCACAGAAGCCAGGACACTTAGTTGAAGAGGAAGCATTTCTTGAGGACCTGCTCGCTGCGTTAAAGCGTGGAGGGCGGCACCAGTGGGGCATGTCTGCTCTGCGGTGAGGGTGGTGGGATCTACTCTCAGTAACTGTCTCCTTATAACTTAGTGAGGTGTGCTGCCTCAGCACTCTTGTTAAGAAGCCAGTGGAGGGGGCTGGGGAGATGGCGCAGAGGTGAAGAGCACTGGCTGCTCTTCCAGAGGTCCTGAGTTCAATTCTCAGGACCCACATGGTGACTCAGAACCATCTATAGTGAGATCTGGTGCCCTCTTCTGGCGTGCAGGTGTACATGCAGACAGAATACTGTATGCTGTATAAATAAATCTTAAAAAAAAGCCAGTGGAGGGAATTTGGAGACTATGAAAATCATGATGGTGGCAGTGACAACATCATCACATTTAAAAACTTCACTCTGGGTGTTCGGGACTAAAAGGACGAGTCAGGAGAGGGTTGGCAGCAGAGGAACCAGGCAGGTAGATGGCTTTCAAGGTAGCGGAGGAGGAATTCGCAGTAGCCTGGAGGAGGGTGGTTGTGGGTTTACAGAGAGCCAGTCTTGTGGACAGTCTTGTGATTGACTGACTTCAGGGAGAAGACATCGCCAACATGGCTTGTGACCTTTAGAGCACTGGAAGGCAGTCAGGGTTCAGAGGAAATGAGAAAACGCTGTGAGTGTGGCCTGGAGTGTTGGTGGCTGGTGGCAGCCTCTCATGGCCAGGAAGAGGGCAGCTGCTGGTCCGCTTCCCTAGGGCAGTTAGTGTTTAGCGACCAGTGGACTGTCCTTGCCAGGGCTGAGCGTTCCCTGCATGTAGTGCTGAGTGGTCTAGGCAGCAGGGTTTACGGGAGAGTCTGACACAGCAAGCCAGAGATAACCAGGATTATGGGTTGGGTGGGATCCAAAGGAAGAGGGAGGAGTAAGAAGATTGAGGGGCGTGTGGGGAAGGAGGGAGGGCCACTTCTGTTATCTGCCCAGAGTGACTTGTGTGTACAGATCGCAGCTGTAGCAGGACTCACCCAGAGGCAGTTACTGTGTTAGTGAGCAGAGTCTGGGGAAAGTGGGTTCTGAGGAGCTGGACTGGATTGGGATGAGGAGAAATTGGGAAAGAGGGAAGGAAGTACGGTGGATAAAGACCCTTTCAAGATTCAAGGCTGTCAAGGGCCAGAACTGGGCAGATCTTGGGGTTTATGGCTAGAGGAATTTCTAAGATGGAGTCTACCTGAGCCTGTGCGCATGTCAGTGAGAAGAGAAGGGTTGTATTCAAGCCCAGCGAAGGGATCGTGTATGGACAGGAGGAAGGGAGGCAAAGGAGGATGCCTCAAAACCTCTTTTTTTTTTTTTTTTTTTTAATTTAAATACTTAGGTTTGGGAGTTGGAAGCTATAAGGTAGCCATGTCTTTGGCTTCAGTTTTCTCTGTCAAATCGAAGGCAAGGTCCTGCGGGGCGGCAGTGGCCGGAGAGTTTGCAAGTTAAGTGGAGAAAGTTGGCTGGAGAGAAGTGCAGTAGAACTGCCAGACAGTGTTGCGGGCCGGTTTATAGGTCACGGGCTCAGCTCTTCTTAAATTTGAGGGGTTTGTCAGGGTGGCTGTATGGGTAAAGCCCCTTGCCACCAAGCCCGACAGCCTTAGTTCAGTCCTGGACATCAGGGGAGGAGACTGTCCTCTGACTTCCATGCTTCTGCCTTCATGAGTCAGTAAATAATTGGAGGGTGGAGGGAAGAAGAGATATGTAGCCCAGGCTGTCCTCAAAGTCTGGTCTCAAGCCACCACTTGCCTTAACCCGTTGGCGCGGCTACTCATGGCTTCCTCAGTGTTCTCACACCTGTTGGCACACGGCCCCCTCGGGCTCAGAAAGAGGTATGTGCCAAGTTATTATTTTTCCCTTAGGTTCCTGTTACTTTTCAGAAAACATTCTGAAACCAAGAAGCTTCTCCCCTTGAGTTCCAGGGTGGGTGTGACTCAAACTTGGGGAGATTAAGCAGAGAAATGCAGGATGGGAGAATAAAGACATTTGCGGTATTCTAAACTTTCAAGTCTTAAGGTGTAGCTTTGATACTTTTTTAATTCAGATAAATTCCCGGGACCCAGATACATCCTTACTTTGTAATTTAGTATTTTGAGGTTCTGGGGGTGAACCCAGTGCCCCAAGTGTGCTACACAAGTGCACACCCCCGTTTTCCAGACACTGGATACTGAATGTGAGCATGTCCTTCCTGTAGCTTCCTGTCGATGGTGAATGTGATGGTGATGTTGACATTAGCATCTGTTTATCTGTCTTTCTGTATTTATTAGTTTATCTAATCTGTGTTTTTACTTACATGTATGTCTGTGTGAGGGTGTCGGGTCCCCGGGAACTGGAGTTACAGACAGCTGTGAGCTGCCATGTGAATGCTGGGAACTGAACCCAGGTCCTCTGGAAGAGCAGCCAGTGCTCTTCTCCATTGAGCTGTCTCTCGAGCCCCACGCTGTGGTGTTTGTTAGAGGCCCGTGTTGTTGCCCCCCTGCCCCCCCTCGGGGACAGTAAGGTCTGTAGCGTGGGCGCTGTTGCTTTTAGTCCCAGGACCCACTGCCCACCATGGAGCTGGCCGTGGCCATCCTGAGAGACCTGCTTCGGTATGCGTCCCAGCTCCCTGCCCTGTTTCGGGACATCTCCACCAACCACCTTCCTGGGCTGCTTACCTCCTTGCTGGGCCTCAGAACAGAGGTGAGGCTTTGCAGTGCGGGTACTTGGATTAAAGATTTCTCAGGGACAGCTTAGAGAGTAGGACTTCAGCAGTGTAAGGATAAGTCGGGCGAGGTGGCACACACCTGTAATCTCAGCACTCAGGGAGGCAGAGGCAGGTGCATCTCTCGAGTTCAAGGCCAGCCTGGTCTACAAAGCGAGTTCAGAACAGCCAGGGCTCCACAGAGAAACCCTGTCTCAAAAAACAAAACAAAACAAACAAACAAAAAAAACAAACAAACAAAAAAAGAAGGGTAAGGATAGGAAGATAGTGACCGACTGGAAAGGGGCCTTTGGGCCCGGGTGGATTGGAAATGTCTGGCGGTTGGTGCTTGGCCTCTTCCTTCTGACTTCTGCTCTTCCCACAGTGTGAGCACTTGGCTTTGGAGGGAATGAAGGCTTGTTTGACCTATTTTCCTCGGGCCTGTGGCGCTCTAAAAGTAAGTACCTACAAACTGTGATAGCTCTCCACAATAGGTTCCATTCCTGGCATTTCTAAACTTTGCACAAGAGCCATTGTGTCATAATACTGCTTTGAAGTACTTGTTTTGTCCTCACAGTGAAGATGTTGACCTGATTACCTGCCTATGATGAGGGGGAGCTTGGATCTTTGTCTGATTCTTGGGCCTGTTCTCTAACCCATAAACTCCTTTCTCTGTCTCTCCCTCCCACCCCCTTTTATTAATTTTTAAATTCAGAGTTTCTGTGTTGTTTTGTGTGGGTGTTTTGTCTGCATGTATCTCTGTGAGCCACATGTGTCTGGGGCCTGCAGAGGTCAGAGGTGTTGGATCCCTGGAACTGGAGCTAACAAGTGCTTGTGAGCTGCCATGTGGGTGCTGGGAACCAAGCCTGAGTGCCAGTGTGTTTAAGGGCAGAACCATCTTCAGCCCCTACCACTCACCCCTCTTTATAAGGAATACCCTACAGCCAAGCTACACTTAGAGCCCTACCCCCTCGGCCCTCTCTGTTCTGCCTGATTTGGATCTCTGGTATGCCCCTTGTTTCTCCTACTGCCCTGACTTCATTCCTGAAGCACTTTAGTTTCCTTCAGGAAGAATGGTGCTACAGAAGCCTCATTAACACCCCCTCTCCCAAGGTCTGTTTGCTTTTCCCGTGGTTTTAGCTACCCTTGCTCAGGCAGCAAAAGTAGCGTGGGTTTGTCATGGGTTAGACACCTGCAGTTTCACTGAAAGGCTTGTTCTTACAGTTGATCCTCAGCATTCTCCTTTTCCTCATTGAGTCAAAGCCTACAGGCTGCTTTAGAGCTTCTCTTCGGATCATCACGAAGTGAAAGGAGGGTGGTTTTGAGGTTCTGGGGTGGTGTAGCGTGGTGAGATGCTGAGAGAGATGCTAGAGAGATGCTAGCCTGCTGTGCTGCTCTTGTTCATACGTAGAGTTGAGGAGCTCTTACAGGTAAGCTTATGAGTTAGAGCTTAGGATAGGGCAGTGTGTGAGGGCAGGCATGGGCGGGGGCTGGTGCTGGGAGGCTAAGGCAGGAGGATGTGAGCTTGGAGTTGGTCTACGCCGTACAGTGAGTGAAGAAAAATCCAAAACAAAAGAAACATATGGTTTGGAGTTATTCCGGTTTCAGCCACCTGCTGACATGCTGCTACTCCTCGTGGCTGGGGCTGTCACTGACTAGTTACCTACAGTGTGTGAAGTGTCAGAGCCCGGGTCTCAGTGATGAGACCTGTGCTGATCTTCATTTTCATGGCAGTGTGCACAGCACAGCTAGTAGAAGCTGTCAGTGACCAGGACAGGACTTTGTTTTCTCTTTTGTGCCGTGGAGTGAACTCCATCCGAGCCCCTCAGACTTACAGTTTAATTTCATTACACAAAAACATGGAATTGCAGACATTCTGTTTCAATTAAAGTGTTTCAAAACAATCTAAAAGTTAGAGAATAGGACAGGCAAGATGGCTTCCTGGGTAAGACGTTTCCCGCCATGGCCAGTGGTGGAGTCTGAGTCCCAGAGTCCAGTGGTGGAGAGGGGATCAGCATCTGTAGGGCATGCACATGCGAAAACACAAAACAAGCCGTGAACAACTTAAGACCTCTTCGTGTAGGCAGGCATGTGCATCCCATGGTGGACACGTCGGTGAGTAGGTTCCCGCCACGGCTGCTGATCCCTGGGCTTAAGCAGCAAACACGGATGAGCCGGCTTGCCCGATCAGATCATTCTTTAGCACAGTGATTCGAGGTGGAGAGCTTTCCTTTAGTGACTAGGAGAACACAGGGGTAAAGGGTCTACTATTTACTGTCCTCCAGGTTCACCTGGAAGCCACGGGGACATGTGGGGATCAAGGACAGGCTTGGTTTCTCATGGGGAGTCTGAAGCAAGCAGTCATGAGCTGCAGAGGATCCCTGTGGCAGATCTGCATAGTCAGCTGGCCTGAGGTCAGCAGGCTCTTCAAAGCTAGCTTGATGTAGGGAGGTGGTCTCCAGTAAGAAGTTAGGGAAGACTCATCCAGGATTGTCAGTGCTGAGGACCGAGAGGGCAGGGAGACTGGAGGCCGTCAGGCTGCAATTCTGTTGCAGCACAGAATTGCAGCTCACTGTAGAAGTAGGTCTTGTCAGTTCTGTAATTTGAATTTGTGAGGCATGCACCTGATACTGTGAAAGGAGCAAAGGAGTTCCTCACTGAATATGTGATAAGCATATTCATTTGCACTTAACATTGACAGATGCGGGCTGGAGAGACTGCTCAGTTAGGAGCACTGCCTGCTCTTCCAGAGGTCCTGAGTTCAATTCCCAGTGCCACACGGTGGCCCAGAACCATTGTCATGAGATCTGGTGCCCTCTGCTGGCGTGCAGGTGTACATGCAGGCAGAGTGCTGTGTACATAATAGGTAAATCTTTTAAAAAATGAGAGATAAGCTACATCTTACTTACAGGTTACTAACACTAATGACATACCTTCCTCTGTTTCTTACTCATGTGTTCACAAATTCCTTTTATTGCCCTTCAAATAGATTGTGGACTTAGGCTGAACACTTACTCTGGGCTTCTGTCAGGCAGAGAGGTTTGTGGACGGACAGGTGGCGGCTCTGAGGTCTTGCTGCCTTGGCTCTGTTCTCCTCGCCTGCCCTGGTGACCAGTGCCACACTTGTCTCTCTGGGCGTGCGTTAATTCTAGCAGGACCTTCCCTTTTCTCTCTCTCAGCTCACAGAGCTGGACTGTGGGTATTTCTGTTTTCCAGAACTGTTATTTTTGGCTTCAGAGAGAAAGATGACTGTCGTTTGCAAAAACTAGCAGAGGGAGTCCAGTTGTTTTGGGGGCAGGGCCAGGCCCTTTCTCCCAGGAAGGAGGCTGTGACCAAGAGCTCATGTGCAGGTGTCTCATTGCTGTGTGGGTGCAGCACACTTCCTGTGTCTATAGGAAAGCAAAATCCCAGGTGGGAAGACTGCCGCAGATAATCTCAGCCCTGGCCACTACCTCTTTCTCTCTTCCCTGCTCCAGGGCAAGCTGGCTGCCTTTTTCCTGTCTCGGTTGGATGCCTTGAACCCTCAGCTCCAGCAGGTAAAGAGAAGGGAGAGGCGCCATGCACAGGGAGCTGGCTCGTCCTTACTGCTGATCGTACAACATTTGCAGCCTCTCTGCCTTTCCTCCTGATAACAGTTACTGGCGTTTGTCCTCTTGGGACGTCCGCCTCCGTTTCCTGAGCTCTTGTTGCTCTTGTTTCTTTCTCTGGGGCATTAGTGAGGAGGAAGCCCCTGGCTCGGACGTCCCTTCTGACCAGTGTCCTGCCCTTCTGCAGCTGGCCTGTGAGTGCTACTCCAAGCTGCCGTCCCTGGGTGCCGGCTTCTCCCAGGGCCTGAAGCACACGGAGAACTGGGAGCAGGAGCTGCACAGCCTGGTGGTCTCGCTGCACAGCTTGCTGGGGACCCTGTATGAGGGAGCAGAGACTGGTAGGGACCAGGGTTTGGGGTTAGGAGACGGTGGGAGAGGGTAACGGGAGGGGACAGGAGGATGGTCTGTGGAGGCATGCGGTGGGTTTTGGGCAACATGGATGAGAACGCAAGTGGGTGATCTCGCACAAATGGGAAAGGATGGGGCCTGGAGGGTGGGTCAGGGGTTGAGAACCCCAGCTGCTCTTCCAGCACCCGCAGGACAGCTCACACAGTGCAGAGGAGGGAGGGAAAGGCAGGGTGTGTAGGTGGTTGTGTCGCTTGCTGCCCAGCTCCTGTGCAGAGTGAAGGCCCTGGAGTAGAGCTGCTGCTTCCCCGCCCGGAAGATGACAGCACCCATGCCCTCCTCCAGCTTCGCCAGAGGTTTTCAGGACAGGCCCGCTGCCTGGGGCTCATGCTCAGGTGTGTGGCTGTTGAAGGGAGCGGGCCTGGGGCTGGAGAAGTGGAGGCGGGTGTGGGGGGTGAAGCCGGGTGACTGCGCTGAGGCTCTCTCTACTCTGGCTCCCCAGCTCGGAGTTTGGGGCTCCCGTGTCTGTCCCTGTGCAGGAGATCCTGGACCTTATCTGCCGCGTCCTCAGTGTCAGCAGCAAGAACGTTGTGAGTGGCCTGTCTTCCACGCCTAGCCCTGCCTAGCGCCCAGCCACCGGGACTCGCTCACACAGAGCTGAGCCGGTGTCCTAGTGTGCAGAGTGAATTTCGGGATGAGCTGAGGCATCGTTGGACTCAGTCATGCTGAGGGCCTCCTCTGCAGGGTGGGAGAGGGGCTTGGGTCGAGCTGGGCCAGCTCACGTAGAGTAGATCTGCCCTGTTCCTGCCTTCCCTGGCTCTCCTTTTCTTTGTCCATCTACTGTTGCTGCATTTGTCCCCAGAACTTGCTTGGAGATGGTCCCCTCAGGTTGCTGCTACTGCCCTCTATCCACCTGGAAGCCTTGGACTTGCTCTCTGCACTGATCCTCGCGTAAGTGGGGTTGGTCACGGTGTGGGGCCAGGGATCACCCTGCAGATGAAGGCCACTGTTGATCCTCTGCCCCAGGTGTGGAGGCCGGCTCCTGCGTTTCGGGACCCTGATCAGCCGCCTGCTTCCCCAGGTCCTCAGTGCCTGGAGCAGCGGCAGGGACACGCTAGCCCCAGGCCAGGAGAGGCCTTACAGGTGACTGTCCAGGAGGGCCAGCGTGCAGAGGTGGGTGGGACGGGCGGGTGCCCCAGGGCCCTGGCATGTCAGCTCTGTTCATGCCCTGCTCTCCTTGCTCCTGCTCCAGCACCATTCGGACCAAGGTGTATGCGATCTTAGAGTTGTGGGTGCAGGTATGTGGGGCCTCAGCAGGCGTGCTTCAGGGGGGCACCCCTGGAGAGGCCTTACTCACCCACCTGCTCAGTGACATCTCCCCAACAGCGGACGCTCTCAAGGTGAGACCTGGGCCCCATGACTGTTCCCTGACTTTCCGTCCCAACTTCCTGTTCACTTACACGTGTGACTGTGTTTACTTTCACCACAAGCTGTGCGGCGCCAGGGGGAGCGCTGACGGAGGTGTGCAAAGTGGGAAGCCCAGTGCCCCTAAGAAGCTGAAGCTTGACATGGGGGAGGCCTTGGCCCCGTCCAGCCACAGGAAGGGAGACAGGAGCGCCAACAGCGACGTGTGTGCCGCGGCTCTGAGAGGTGTGTTCGTGTGTGCCCGTGTGGGCGTGCTTGAGCGTGAGCTCGGTGGCCCTGAGGGGTACCTTTGTGTGTGCAGCACTGAGAGGTGTGTTCGTGTGTGCCTGTGTGTGTGTGTGCCTGTGTGTGTGTGTGTGCCCGTGCGTGTGCGTGCGCGCGCCTGTGCCTGTGTGTGCAGCACCGAGAGGTGCGTTTGTGTGAACTGGTAAGCACCGGGCAGACGGGAGCACAGGAGCACGGTCCTGCGGCCTGAGCTCCTAGAGCAGCCAGGGCCTCAGTTCACCGCACTCAGCACGTTACGCACGCACTGTGTGGGGCAGGGGCAGCTCGAGCCCTGCGGAGGAGGATGCTGGTGGGCGCTCCCTGCCCGCCCCTGGCAGTGTAGGCGGTGGTCAGTGGGTGCCGTGTGCCCCTGCTGCCTGCTGCTGACCCGCTGTGGAGGGAGGCTGTTCTCAGCTGTGCGACGCCGCACACGGAGAGCCCTGCCTGCAGTGTCCGCCTTCCCTGGTTCACGCTGGCCGAAGGAGCTGCTTCTGAGGGAGCAGCGTGCTTGCCTTTCAGCCTGCTGACGCGCCCTTCTGTCTGTAGGCCTCAGCAGGAGCGTCCTCATGTGCGGGCCTCTCATGAAGGAGGAGACTCACAGGGTTAGTTGGTGGACGGGGGCGGGGCCGCTGCCCTGTGCCCTTACCCCAGAGGTGGGCTGTTGGACCTGGGAACGAGGCTCTGGCCTTGAGGGGTGGGGTGGTCTTGGGGGCGTTTCTGGACTCAGTCTTCTTTGCAGAAGCTTCATGATCTGGTGCTGCCCCTGGTCATGAGTGTCCAGCAGGGTGAGGTCCCGGGCAGCTCTCCTTACAACAGCTCCTGTTGCCGCCGCGAGCTCTACCGCCTGCTGCTGGCTTTGCTGCTGGCACCTTCCCCTCGATGCCCGCCTCCCCTTGCATGTGCCCTGAAAGCTTTCTCTCTTGGCCAGTGGGAGGACAGTCTTGAGGTAGGTGCTGACTGGGCCGGCTCTTTCTCTGGTCCCTGGGTCCTCCCGTTTGGGTGCCTGCCTGTGAGAGCCTGTGTGCCAATGCCGCCTCCTCCCTCAGGTCTCCTCCTTCTGCTCAGAAGCACTGGTCACCTGCGCAGCTCTCGCACACCCCCGTGTCCCTCCTCTGCAGGGCTCAGCCCCGATCTGCCCAGCTCCTGCGCCCGGACCTCCTCCTGAGGTCCCGTCTCCATTCAGGGCCCCAGCCTTCCACACTCCGGGCCCAATGCCCGCTGTGGGTGCTATGCCGTCTCCAGGCCCGATACCTTCAGCGGGCCCCATTCCCGCAGTAGGCTCTCTGCCAGCCACGGGCCCGGTGCCCTCTCGCCCTGGACCTCCAGCAACAGCCAACCACTTAGGCCTCTCTGTTCCCGGCCTGGTGTCTGTCCCACCCAGGCTCCTTCCTGGCCCTGAAAACCACCGTGCGGGCTCCAGCGAGGACCCTGTCCTTGCTCCTACTGGGACCCCTCCACCCAGCATTCCCCCCGATGAAACCTTTGGGGGCCGAGTCCCCAGGCCAGCCTTTGTCCACTATGACAAGGAGGAGGCCTCTGATGTGGAGATCTCCCTGGAAAGTGACTCAGATGACAGTGTGGTGATCGTGCCCGAGGGCCTTCCGTCCCTGCCACCTCCACCCCCAGCAGGCACGCCTCCCCCTGGGGCTCCCGCTGGCCCACCGACAGCTTCTCCTCCTGTGCCAGCCAAGGAGGATTCTGAAGAACTGCCTGTAGCTCCAGGGCCTCCACCCCCACCCCCACCCGCACCCTCTTCGGGTCCTGTGGCACTTCCTCCACCCCAGCTGGTCCCCGAAGGCACTCCTGGAGGAGGAGCACCCACAGCCATGGAGGAAGACTTGACAGTCATTAATATCAACAGCAGTGATGAGGAGGAGGAGGAGGAGGAAGAAGAGGAGGAGGAGGAAGAAGAGGAGGAGGAGGAAGAAGAAGACTTTGAGGAAGAGGAAGAAGATGAAGAAGAGTATTTTGAAGAAGAAGAAGAGGAGGAAGAATTTGAAGAGGAATTTGAGGAGGAAGAAGGTGAATTGGAGGAGGAGGAGGAGGAGGAGGAGGAGGAAGAGTTGGAAGAGGTAGAGGAGGAGGAGTTTGGCTCCGCGGGAGGAGAGGTGGAGGAAGGTGGCCCTCCACCCCCAACGCTGCCGCCAGCTCTGCCACCCACAGACTCCCCCAAAGTACAGTCCGAGGCGGAACCTGAACCCGGGCTCTTACTGGAAGTGGAGGAGCCGGGGGCAGAGGAGGTGCCCGGGCCTGAGACGGCTCCCACCCTGGCCCCTGAGGTGCCCCCCTCCCAGGAGGAGGTGGAGCCAGAACAGGGAAGCCCGGCAGCAGGGCCAACCCAGGAGCTTGCTGAGGAAGAGGCCTCTGCTCCCCCCATGCTGGAAGAGGGGACCGAGGGTGCAGGGGACAAGGCGCCGCCCCCACCCGAGACACCTGCAGAGGAGGAGATGGAGACGGAGGCAGAAGCCTCAGCTCCCCAGGAAAAGGTGAGAGGGTCAGCCAGGGAGGATGCCGGCTGGGCAGTTAGGTGGCCTGGGGAAGGCGTGCGGGGCTCATGGAAAGGCTTGCTCCAGCCTGACCTACTCTAGAGTGTGTCTGTTTGAATTTTGTGTCTTTGTCTCTAAAAGGAGCAAGATGACACAGCTGCCATGCTGGCTGACTTCATCGATTGTCCCCCTGATGATGAGAAGCCACCACCTGCCGAAGAGCCTGACTCTTAGCCCCTTCTGCGTCCTGACACTTTGTATCCAATAAAGTTAATGTCTGTAGATACTCTGCTGCTTTGGTCATGCTGTGTGTGCTGTTCCCAGCTTGGGGCCTGAGTGCTGGACTGCAACCCTGTTGTGTCCTCTCCAGATGTCCCCCTGCTGTCTGCTGTAGCTTTTTACCTCTTTGGCCTGAGGAAGAACTGTGGCTTAAAGTAGCCGGCTGTCCTGTCAGTGAGTTAGTGTTGACTGTTCTTGTCCCTGTGCTTTCCTACAGGAGCTTGCTGTGTGGCCTAGGCTGCCTGCAAATTCAGCCTCCTGTAAGCTCTCTGTGCACGGGGCTGTTGTCTAATATTACGTATGAGCTGACTTGCCCGTCCGTAAGGCTGCAGAGAGGCGTGTTCTGCTTTTGAGTTTGTAGTGCAAGGCTCAAATTTTGAAGAGGTTAGCAGTTAAACTAAGTTTTTGGAACATAAGTAGGTTTTTAAAAAATTCCCCTCAAGTTATTTTGAAGTCCCCAGGGAAACTGAGACCATCTGACTTCCTGGTTGACCGGTTGTCAGTCGTTAGCTGTATTCGCTTTGTCCCACCTTCATGTGGGTGTGTGGTACAGACGGACCTCGTGTGCGGGTGATGGTGTAGACATGGCCTTTCTCCGTCTAGAACAAAGCATCACTCGAGCCAGCTGTGGTGGTGTGCACCCGCAACCTCAGTTTTTAGCATCCACGTGGCAGCGCACAGCTGTGCGTAACTTTAGTTCCAGGGCATCTGACACTCTGGTCCGTGGGCAGACACCAGGCCTGCAAATGGTACGCAAATGCACATATGCAGGCAAAACGCCCACACACAATCTAAAACCGTACACACCGAGCCCCCAAGTGGCATTCAGACACAACCGCGGCCTTGAAATACATTCAGGTGAAGAGCACTTGTCTATCATGTAAATCGCTGGGCTTAACGTTCAGCACTGTTCAACAAGGCATGGTAGTGCACACCGGTAAGCCCAGCACTCAGATGGTTGAGGCAGGAGGATCAGTCACTCCTGGTGGCTCTGAGCTGGAGGCTAGCCGGAGGTCCGTGAGACCCTGTCTCAGCCCCCAACCCCAGACAGACTAACAAAACCCAAGCAGTCCTGTTCCCACGCTCCGGGAAGCCCCGCAGTCAGATGGTCCCTGGCTTAGAGTTTGCCCTGATGGAAGGATTGTTAGTTTGTCACCTGAAGTTGAGTGAGTTACAGGGGAATCAGTGCTTGACTTCGGCCCAGCTGGGGGTGAGTGTGCTTCGGCAGGCCAGGCTAGGGGCTGTTGGGTGTACTGAGCGTGTAATTCTACTCTAGGGAAGGTTTGTACTGCCCCGATGGACAGTCGGATTCAGTCGTAAGATCTCGTGCCCAGGTGTTCCTCCCCTGTGAGTCAAGAGGAAGATGACTGTGTGAGGATCCTAATGGCAAGACTCCTCGGGATCTCAGAAAGGGAAGCAAGTAGACCAGAACAGGGCTTTCCTGTTACCTATTCTGAATCTATAACAATGATAGGTAAGATACATTCACAACCAAAAAGACTCAGAGATTTGTTGAAGCCTTTTCTGATTTCTGGTCTCTATGAGTTGTCTCCCAGGGACAGTGTGTGTTCAGAGTTAATGTATTCTAGAGATACACACACACACACACACACACACACACACACACGAGTAGGCCCAGGCCTGTCCTCTCTTGACACTTCCCTTGTGTCTTACCAGGAACTACTCAACTGCAAGTATGCTGTAGCCAGTTGTCACAGTTACATAAGTAGCAGCATCTTCTGATAATGTGGATTTTTGAAGGATGGTGCAGATGGACAAGGCCCCTTCACCAGTTCCCCCTGGGGCTGCATCTTCCTCGGTTATAGCGGTGTCCAGACCAGGCATTGGATGTTGCGTCGGGAGCTCTGCTCCCCGGGGTGGGTGGACAGACGCCTGCCCGGCCTGCACACTGCCTGCGGTCGGGGGAGGCGCTCGTTGGCAGTGTGTTACTGCAGTGGGAGGGAAGGAAAGCAGGTCTGCAGTTGTGTGGGAGTTTTGTTTGTTCTTCATCACCGATGAAAATTTTCAAATCTAATTATAGATGACATCCCACTTTGCGGAGTGTGTGGGCCAGGGGAGCTCAGCGCAGGGTTAGTGAGGGTGTGACTGGCTGCTCTGGGGAAACTTCCTTCTAGCTAGGGAGCAAGCACAGAGGTTCAGAAACGAGCATTCTCCTGTGGGGCCGGGGGAGGCCGCAGGGCACCGGTGGAGGGTCAGGCAGAGGGGTGACTTCCCCGGCACTGCCCTCTTCACACGCTTGTGGGCTTGGAGCAGCTGGAGTGGGGTAGGGTGGAAGCAGAGGTGGCGGAGGAGGGCTGGTGCCTCCCACAGGGCAGCAGGGAAATAAAAATGGTGGAGTCTGGGTGGTGAGTGCTGACAGAGCTGAACTTCCTTCCCTTCCTGAGCTATCCTGTCGGCTGCCTGGATGCCTTTAAAAAGTCGACCTTCCTAGGTGGGCTGTTCCCGTGCCTGCCCCAGGGGGCACACGGATACACAGACGTCGGCTCACGAGTGCTCACGCCTTTGCCAGCTGAGGCCTGGAAATCGAGCTGCGCCAGCTTCTGCGCCCTCACGGGGTCGGCGTGCTCGGTGTGTCTGCTGGCCTGGAAAGCTACATGTAGCTTTAAACCACTTCTCTTGTAGGTTGGGAAAATTGACGTTTTGGCTCTAATAAACTTACTATTATGGCCTTTTAAGGAGAAGAGCCTCCTGCATGCAGGGGTCGGAGTTAGACTGTGATCTTGGCTTCGTGGTCTAGAGGCAGAGAGGCGGAGGGTTCAGTGAGTGAGGTGGGGTGCGGGGCTCTCATGGTGGGGGCCTTATCCTGAAAGCAGGGTTCTGGAGGGAAGCAACTTCATTCGGTGGGCAGTGAGCCTTGGGGATAGGGAGGACCGTCATCCCAAGAGCCCAAACGGTGCAGCGAGTCCCTCGGCGGTGTAGCGTGGCCAGCCGCCCGTGGCCATGCACCTCAGGGCACTCTTGCTGAAGCTGCTGGGCCGGGCGGGCTGTCTCCCTGCTGCTCCAGCCTCCACCGGGAGGTTCCGAGGCCCCTGGTGAGTCAGCGTCCTTGCTTATGTTCCCCTGAGATGGGGCCGTGGAGGGAGGTAGCTGGAAACCGTAGATAATCCAGCCAAACAGGAGGGCCCAGCATACTCTAGGTGGAGGAGATAGAGACTGAGTGCTCATGGATCCCATGAGCGGGTCTGAGGCTCGGGGGACACAGGAGGCGCCCTGGGTTCAGCGAGGTAGTAACTGATAGAGCTGCCGTGGCTGGCAGCAGCCGGGTGTGTGGGCTCTGAAGCTCAGGAGAGAGCCTGCGGTGGAAGGGATACGTCCCCCGGGGAGCTGAACTGGAGAGAGAAGTGATGGGAGATGGCATCCACACTACACATTCAGGGGTAAAGGGCCCTTCAGGGAGAGCAACGAGCTTTGGGCTTGGCTGGGCTCAAGTACCAGTCTGTTTTCAAATGCTGGATGAACTGTCTGCTCTGAATTTCCCCAAAGCCTAACTCATGTGGGGCTACCCCGGACAGGGGCCGTGAGAGTGTGCAGGGCGTTTTCCTAGGAAGGGGCCCATCGTGCAGGAATCTTAGCCAGAGGGAAGTGTGAGCTCCTGGTGACCCGGAGTTACAGAGAAAGGTCTGCGGATTTTCAAATTTTGATTGTTTGTAATTTTATTTTAAAATGACCTTAGTTTTTATTTATTTGTATGTGTGTATAGGGCGCCCTCACAGGCCAGAAGAGGGCTCGGATCCCTGGAGCTCAGAGGTTGTGAGTGGCTACGTGGCTGCTGTGGTCTGAACCTGAGTTCTCTGCAGGACTCCGAGCGCTTTTAACTACTGTCACCTCTCCAGCCCCACCCCTTCGTGATTGTGTGACCAAGCATGCGTGCCACAGGGGCCTGTGGAGGCCAGAGGACACCCAGTAGGAGACAGTCCTCGGGGATTGGACCCATGGCTTTCCTGGTGTCGGGCGCCTTTACCTGAGCCTTCTTCCTCACCCAGTTCTTTATGGTGTTACTTGGTCTCGGCCTGCGGTGTCCTGCGGTTTCCTTCTACTGAGCCCACCTTACCTTGGCTGGCCTTACCCTCCTATCAGATTTACCAAACCTTCTGTTTGTCCAGCCTCTGTTTGTTAGCTTAGAGCTTAAGCCACAAAGACTAAACCATTTCAGCCCATCCACTAGCCTGGAGGTTACTTTCCTTTTCTGTTATCTGTTTACCAGTTGTAATGCCAGGGTCATGGGACCCTCAGAGACCACCAGGAGACGACTCGATGCAAGAGCAACAGAGCTTTATTATGAGAGTGATCGAACTCGGGACCCAAGTCTCACTGACACAGCAGTAGAGAAGTGGGACCCTGAGCCCTGAGTGAGCAGCGTTTTTAAAGGGAAAGACTGTGAGCAGGGGGTTTCCATGACAGCAAGCAGGGGCCACATGTTTCCATGACAGCAAGCAGGGGGGCACATGCCTTGGTGGTATGGGATTGGGTAAAAGTTAGAGGGGCGAGGTGACCTTCTTTGAGGCACATTATCACAATCACTATTCTTCTAACCTATATCTGAAACATTGGGGAGAATTTTCCCAACCAATTCTCATTGACTATTGCCAGGGAGATTGTCTCTATTTTCTATGAAGCATTTATTCTGTGATATTTCCTGGAGGCTGTTGCTAGGAGAGTTAACTTTGTTCTCTGCCAAGCATACATTGTGTGATATTTCCTGGTACCTGAATTCAGCTCCCAGTCAGGATGGCTCCTCATTTCAAAATGGAGTCACCCAGGCCAACCTAAACTCTTCACAGTCAGCCCGGTAAACCATTTCGCTGATTCTCAGGTCTCCTTCACACACGTGGGCATGCATACGTGTGTGTTGAAGGAGGTGACAAGGATGGGGACAGCCACGGCCTCCAAGTATCTGGTGGAAGAGAAAGGTATGGTACGTGGCATGCGTTGAGGCCAGGCGTGGCGGCACTCAGGAGGCAGAGGCAGGTGGACCCGGAGGG